CCTACGTGCCTCGGGCCCCCTCCCCTCTGAGTGTGTCGTCAACACCCGACCCTGTGGCCACGACGACTCTTCACGAGTATCTCACAGCTTCCAACCCGGCGCCCTCCCTGGTCCGCACTGTTTCCTTCCCCATGCGCGATCCCCAAGCCAAGAACTTCTGGTGGGACGTTCGTCAAGTCCGCCCTTGGTCGTCCTTCAATTTGGAGACCATCCTGTCTCTGCCTGGCGCGGCAACACTTCTTCATTGCCCCGTCCCCGCGCCCCTGCTGCCCATGCCGGCTGCTTCTGCCCGCCACCCTGAGACGGAGTCGGCGCTTCACGCTATCTACGCAGCTCACTACCTCCCCCGCCTCAACGCGGCGCTCGCCCTCTCCTCGACGACGCCTCTGAGCCTCTCCCTGGCCCCCAAGACGTCAGCGACCAGTGCCAACGCCGAGCCACTTTTCCTTGCGACTTGCTCCACAGACGCCACCTCCGCCGCCGCCATCTTTGGCGGCAACCCCACCGCCCGCGCCGTCGGTCTCGTCCGCGCTTTCGACCGCTTCAACACGGGCATGCGCTCTGCCGGTCCCGTCGCCCGCGTCGAGTACCTCCGCGGCCTCGCCGCCATCCACCATGCCATGCGCGCCCACGGCACCCGCTACGGCTTCATCATGACCGAGATTGAGCTCGTCATCGTGCGTAACGGCAACGAGCGCACGCCTCACTTTGGATTCCTCGAGGTCTGTGCCGTGCCGCTCGCCGGCGGTGATGGCGAGAGTGACCTGACGGCCTGCCTCGCGCTCTGGGGCCTTTGCGTCATGGCTGGTGATGCTGCTGGTGCCTGGAAGGCTGAAATTGGGGCTCCGGCCGAGGGCACGAGACGCAAGGCCCTTGCGAGGGACTCGTGGATGCCGACGCCGCAGCTGGCAGAGAAGAGAGAGGCCAAGAGGGCGAGAGGATGGGTCTGGCCTGAGGATGCTGTGGGCAGGAAGGAACTGGGCAAGAGGGGAGTTCGTTACGGGGGTGTTTAGGCCAGAAGGTGACGCGAAAGCATAATTGGCGCGGCTGGATCCGTGCTCGCTGGTGGATACGTTTTGTAATGAGAAACGTGGGATGACTGATGATCATGGTTTTGATGATCATTGAAATGTGGTATCTTGGATAGTCTTTGTCGTAATCACAAGCGTTCAATTCATCAACCTTCGAGTATTAACGTGTATTTCATGGAAGGTAGCATCTCATTTTCCTACCTTGAATCTTGTCGGCCGGTGACGCATGATGTTCGGCGATGCCAGTCTCCTTGTAGAGCACTTCATAGCATCAAAGCAAGTTGATGAACAGAATGAAGAGGTCTTTTGCAGGTTGGTTCCGCAGGTCATCGCCAGGTATAGATTAGAAGGCTACCTGGAGCCCGATGTGTATGCCTCGGCGGTTATGTACCTGAAAAGCTTCCTGAACCTTCTATTCCGCAGCGCTCCCAGATGTCTCTTCCACAGATTGAGCATGAGCAGCCTTGCGGAGCGGAAAGTAGGCCGATTTCTTGGCCAGTCAATCGTTCAGTTCGCCTCTGCGCTTTTCAGCGTCTCGTCTGCCCCGTCTTGAGCTGGAGCTGCCGAGTCACAGGACACATGCTGACCCGAATGAAGCAACAGAGCCAGCCAATGCAGCTTTTGCTGTAACAGCGTCGATTTTTCATTGCAATGCGAAGACGTGAAATGAACCTGAATTGGGGCATTGCCGTCAAAAGAACTTTGGCCATGTTCGACTCCATTCGGTGGCATGATTGCTGCAGCACATCCCTGGAGCGGGATCGGCGGCCGCTGGTCGGTTACGCCCAGCCGCATCATGGACCGCATTTTCGAATCTTACAGCCTCGTTCGCGGGTAAATGAGAGCTGTCGAAAGGCGTTCGACCCATCTTGAAAGCCACTCAGCCAGATATGAGCAGCAAGGATGCCCCGATCCTTCAGCTCCGCAGATCGGGTCAGCAGATAATTGCTTACTCGGTCGAATGCGGCCGTTGACAAGATGATCACGACCGGAACATTCATACGCGGACACGCGATGAGTGTGAGACCGGCGAATCGTGATTCAGCCGCTTGGCTGACGGCATGTTGTGATCGTTGCGGCTGTCTACCCCCCCTTATGCCCCCCGTATCTCTTCCGTTCGCGGCCAGGCCGAAGCGGACGGTGCTGAACTCTGTCTCCACGAGGGGACACGAGATGGATTACTTGGCCTATGGGACGATGCAACTTCGTTGTGATCCTGCCGGCCAGTCGGGCCTTATGTTGCCTTCCCCCGCATGTCAGCCGGCCACTTACTGGTGCTCACGCCTCTGGTCAAGATGATCTTTGTCTTTGGTTGGCCAATTGAGTGCCGACTCACATACTCTCTGGGGCAAGGGAACCCCCGAACCAACTCGCGTATTGTCACGTACCAAGTGTTTGAGAACGGATTGTGTAGGGAACTATACGAGATGAACATGCTTGGTCTTCTTGATACGAGAACAACATGCTTGGTCCCCGGGCGAGAGAATGGTATAAAGACAACATGGTGTCCCAATCTTCGACACCACTTTTCGATGGCCCTCACACACGACCTCTCTTAAGACTAGCCATCAACATCAACATCTTCACACAAACTTTGCTAAATCTCACTCAATCAAACGAGAAGATGCTTTCTTTCAAGACCCTCGCTGTCCTGGCCGCCGTCGCCCTGGGTGCCGTCGCCCGCCCCGCTGACATGGCGGCCCGTGACGAAGCCCCCGCCACCACCCCGTCTACCGAAAAGATCACCTTTGCCATGGCTGCTCCCGGGCTCGAGGCTGGTGTGCAGTGCGGCCCCAACAAGTGCGGCGCCGGCCTCGTCTGCTGCAACGAGAGCTGCGGTATCTGCAGCGCCCCTCGTGGTGTTTGCATCACCCTCTGGTGTGGCGAGCCTATCCTTTCCGTTTAAGGGCGGAAGGGGGATGTTGTGCTAGGATTTTGAGAGGCTCGTGGCTTGATGCCCGGGTTGGGCTGGAGTTGGATGTTGAAGCTGTAGGAAGTGGGATCAGTTGCACTGGGTCTCTTGTTTTAGCTCCCCTAGTCAACTCGTCAATAGACTTTGGGTTTGACAAAGACAGTGTTCTCAGAGAAGATTGAGTGGGTAGTCCCCTTTGTGAATTGCATGCATGTGTTGAAGAACTTCACTTACAGTAATCATGCTTGTTGTGTCATTGTGTCGCGAGACGTGTCGTACGACTATGAACCGCGGGGCCCTGCGATGTTCAATGCCGATCTAGAACATTTCTACATCCATATCAATTTCTGTTTCTCGTGCGTACTCCGTCATGACTTGGTTTGAGTACTTGGATCCACCACGGCTGACTTCGCGAACCGAACAATGCTTTCCTGTATTCCCACCATTCCGGCCAGAACCCGGCCATCTCCCAGTCCAAAATACCGGTGATCTTTCCAGTTGATGCGTCCACGAGGATGTTCTCCCACGAAAGCTCTGCATGGGCGAATCGTATCTCGTACGTACCGGGGAATTGCGCCCTGTACTTCGCGAATGTTCCGGGACGTGGTGATTGTTTGACAGGGGCGACGAGGAAGTCGTGAAAGTCAGCAACGGAAGCAAAAGGCCCGCGTGTATGCATATTGCTCAGTCGATGGTCAAAGGCCGCGCCCCCTGAAACCGATCCGATGACCCCGGCATCAGCGAGACGAAGATGATGGAGCTGTTCCAGGTACGACCTGAGTTGCCTGATTGTTTCTGAACGTGCGTCGTCGTCCCTCTCAGGCCACGCCGTGCCGAGTTGAGATCCTGGCAATCGTTCCATGAGAATCCAGCATTTGTCTTCATTGGACTGATCATCAAAGTAGACTTCGAGGATCGTAGGGACGGGGACGGAGGTCTCGCGCTGGACGAAGGTCATGGCTTCCACTTCCCTGCGAAGTCGCACCGCGTCGCCCCATTTCCGGACCGTATCGGGGCCTTCAAATGTTATTCGGCTAGGGAGCTGGATTGTCATTGCAAAGCGATATCACAGATCGAATGAAGAACTCCTTCCGGATGTGGTGCGCTGCTAGTTGGATAATCAGGGTGGTGAGTAGAATGTTGTAGCTTGAACTGCCTGGTGGTGGGGTTGAGGATCCCACCCAACTGGGCAGCGGTCTACGCACGTGTGCCATTGAGACTTCCCTCGCATCGCCGTTGTGGGACCAGTGAAGGATCGTTGCTATAGCCGCTTTGAAACACCAAGCACAGCATGACCTTTGGGATCTTCGCATTTTTGTGATGAGGGCTCCGACTGCACATCAGCGACGACACGACGGAGATTCACACGAAAACGCAAGCTAAGCCAATAAGCCGATGTGAAATAAGGCCCCTCTTCTGTATGCAACCTGTATAAATAGATCTTGCCGACAAACATCACGAACAACTCAGGTCCATAATTGCGTAGCTCGAGAGGCTCACATTGTAATATCTTAAGCTCCCCGTTGTTGGAAGTACATGGACTATGAACTGACTGAGTTGTCACAAGATCTAGTAACCTGTCATACTGGGCATGTTAACGTAGTTCACGACATCATTTGTGTCTCGAAGCAGATATACCAATTTGGTGACAGCTATTTCTGACTCCAGGAGTTAAGGTCCCATTGACACTAGCCTCGATGTTAAATGTGGTACCTGTCAAGTTAGTCAATAGTCCTGGTCAGAAGCCTGCACCGTCACGCAAGGGATGGCTTCAATGCTATACCGGGCTCCATCCTCTGAATACCTAGTTTTGGGACCTCCCGCAATCATGACTGTTTGGTACAAGATAGAGGTTGAGGATCCCTGCTACTGTATCGTTCTTCTGGACTGCTTTGCCGGCTGAACTTGCGCTTCTCAAGTTCAACATAAAAGAAAGGTTTACGCGCCACTACGAAAGGGCATTCTCTACATATTGAAGAAGGACTCATCTACAGATTGTATCGATGGGGCTGAGACCGTCAGCGCAGTTGTATCAGAAGGACTAGGAGGCTTTTCGACTGAAGCCGCCACGTCATGTTGAGTTCTGCGCGTGGTCCTCATCCACCCCGACAATAGTCATCGCGCCAGGCGGGTACTTCATTCAGTTTATCCTGTGATATCTTGGGTGATTATGATATTGTTTCACGCAAAGAAACCTTGATATGAGCCAGAGGACGTCAGCGCCGGCGACCTTCGCGACTATGCTATGTACACGGTGAATCCAGCATTCCCTGCTCCCGTTTGAGTTCGCCACTAACGGAGGCAGGATGCACTCCTGTGACGGCCATGACTGGTCACTGCTGTAAGAGAAAACAAGACGATAAGACCCCCGAGAAAATCCGACAGGTCAACTCTATGTGACTGTCGCTCTTCACCGATCTCGTTTCGAGCAGGAATTCGAGTTGCTCAAGAAAGTAGGCAGCTTTGTCTTGAAGAATGCCTATCTCCGCGATCAAGGCACCCAACGTTCATTCATCAGACATCACCTAGACATGTGATGGGAATACCCAATCTGCCAACCGCGTCGCTCCAACACGAGCCCGGAGTATTGCAAAATACAGACCAGTAAGGCGGCCCGTTCCTGATCCTCTTCGGCCCGTGGGTCCACCTGTCTCATCCACACCCCGAGCTCTGACCCTCCCTCTGCCCCGGCACAATGGCCTCCTGCGACAGCTCAGGGAAGCAATCTCAACAAGACATGTGCGATACGAGATGAAGACCGTGCAGATTGAAGCGCTACCTGGTCTAGCAACTGCTGCTGTTGGGGTCAGAAGCTCCGATGACCCTGGTGTTGTGGTGTACTTGAAGTCCATCATAACCTGACCTGACCCTCGTGCACCAATGAATGGAGTCCTTCGTGTTGCACGACTCGGGATTGCGACGTTGAACGATGAGTGCCGAGACAAACCGCCGGGATTCCGAGAGACAGGTCGCTCTCATCGGCATGTAGGTTCTGGTCACGCCCCCTCCTACGTCGCTACCGGAATTGGCGTAATCTACGTGCCAGTCGTTTTCGTCGCAGCAGAGACGCCCTGCCTCATTGCTTCTGCACTACCAGGTATGACGTTCAGGGCGGCCGAGAGTAATGCTTTGCTCTGGTTCGGATACGTCGTCAAGATGGATATATAATGCCCCATTCACGCTACCCTCAATAGTTAGACTGATCATCCAGCGCCTTTCAAAGTCTACGTCTCAGCCCGACTACCAGATCATCACCGACATTCGCACGTAAACAATCGCAGACAGCCGTTCTTCAACATGAAGGTCTCCGCCATTCTCACAGCCTCTGTTGCCTCTCTGGCCATCGCTGCCCCCTTGACCGAGGGCAACCTGGGTAAGCTTCCACATCAGAGTCACGCTCCGCGTCACGCAGCCACTAATTGCAGGCGGCGCCAGGGCTCGAAAACACCGGCATTGACAGCGCCGAGAAGGTGCAGCTCACGGATCTTCAGGCCCAACTATTCACCTGCATCAGCAACCCCGAATGCATGGAGAAGCTCCAGCAGGGCGCCCTCTCTTCTCCCACGGCTCCCCTCGGCAACACCAAGAGGCAGGAGGTGGACGACTTTCAGAAGTTTCAGGACAAGCTGCTGACTTGCAGCAACAACCCTGCCTGCGCGAAGAAGCTCGACAAGCTCAAGATCCCGGGCCAGGTCCTGGAGCCTGAGAGCACGAAGGAGATCTTGGACAACATCGGAAACGTGCAGACGTGCCTCGCCACGGCCAAGTGCCGCAAGGACCTGTTCGAGCAAATCGACACAAGCTGATCGACGACACCAAGAAGAGCAAGAGGCAGGTCGGGGGCAGGCGTGGCGGCGTCCTCGACGGCCTGAAGGCCTGCCTCAAGAAGCCAGAGTGCAGGGAGAGAATGCTGAAGCAGGCCAAGGATGCTCAGATTGCCAATGCTGCTGGAAAGGTCACGAAGAGGCAGGGTATCCCCATTGAT